TCCGTGTTCGACAACCAAATACCCCGTTCACACGTTCGAACATCACTTCAAACACTTGTCTGTCGAACCGCGTTCGACGAACTGTTTGACCGTGTAAACCCCCCTTAAGACAAGTCGGGTCATACAAATATGTCAGGAATTCCATATTATGCGGACTGTCTATTGATTACCACCCTTTGGTAGCTCAGTTGATATATCACCTGATTTCTACCCAGGAAGCACTTATAGCACTCAACAAGGGCTATTGAAAATATTGTTACAAATATTACTCTTCAATTATTACACTATATTTTATCATTAATTACTTTCTATGATATTTAAAATTAAAAGTAAATTCTATTAATATTTTATTTATGCATAACCAAATAGATTGTAATGTTTATCAACTGCAATATAACTGGGAGTGCCCATGTGCACATGTCCCCATGTACAGTTATCTGAATAAATTAAAAAAAAAAAGCACTGAGCACAAAGCACCGTCTTATGTGCCACTTGTCTGTTCCGGTTTTACGTCACTGACTCCCTTTCCTACCAAGGGCTAGGACGGTTGCCTAATTGCGAAGGACTTGTTTTGGCATATGTACTCGTTACCCTGAGTGCACGCCCTTGCTAACCTCAGACCGTGACGGGGAACGAACCCTCGACCTGACGCCCCAGAGTCGCGGACGCTACCGCTTGAGCCACGGTGACTACTTTCGTGTCACTAATACTTAGTTTCCATTCCAATAGGAGTGGACACAAATGTGTTAAAGCTGGGGTAAATAAGACTGGGCGCCCTTTCTCATGCCCCGCGGTGGGATAGGGTCTGAGTTAGTCGTTTCCAGACTCACGCACTCTACTACTGAGCTCCCGCAACGTTACTGGAGTCGTAGATAGAGATGGATTGTTGTTCTGGTTTTACGTCACGGAGTCTCTTTTCTACCAAGAGCTAGAACGGTTGCCTTCTTGCGAAGGACTTGTTTTGGCAGATGTAATCGTTACCCTGAGTGCATGCCCTTGCTAACCTCAGACCGTATGAGCACTATTTCTTCTTCTATGAGATCTTGTAATCTTCTCCATTGCATCGCTATCAGTGCTGTCATAGCACCTATTCATTTAGGCCTTCCATTAATGGAAAAGTATACATAGATTGCATGGGTAGTCACCGTGGCTCAAGCGGTAGCGTCCTCGACTCTGAGGCGTCAGGTCGAGGGTTCGCGCCCCGTCACGGTCTGAGGATAGCAAGGGCGTGCACTCAGGGTAAGGATTACATCTGCCAAAACAAGTCCTTCGCAAGAAGGCAACCGTCCTAGCCCTTAGTAAAAAAGGGAGTCCGTGACGTAAAACTGGAACCAAACAAGAGCTATAAGATATCTCCAACACGTTACCGACATTTAGATTGGCATTGCACTCAAAACCCTATTTAGGCTTCAAAAAATTAAATTCAGTTGCTCATAGCTGGCTTAATTACAAAAAAAAAATAATATAGAATTTTCAATAACTGAGCATTTAAAAGCATGAATATTCCTTTAGCCATCCGACGTTGACATGCAAGACAAAAACCATCTAGCAAATATTTAAAGAATTCATTCATACCTACTGGAATTTATTGATTAATGCCGTTTCAGGGCCATCCTAAAGTATGCTAAGTGATATTTAACATTCATGTTGAGACGAAATGCTTTACCAAACAATATACAGTCAAGTATGATTCGTCTGGTTACCCCTGTCAACTCAGTATGATTAGTTCAAATATTTAAGGTGATATCTATTAGCTCTCCAATGGATCTTAAGTCCTTCTATAATTCACATCAAAACTTTGTCAATAGTTATTCTTATCTTCAACAATTTAGAGCTGATATTATTATATTATTATATGTTTATTGACAAAATATTACAAATGTATTACAAAAATATTACTTTTTTCACGAAATAGCATAATTAATAGAAACAATATTTTGTCCATCAAAATTCTGAGCCTAAAGAACACTACAAATATTCTCACAAACTTACCAACAAAAGTAAAAATCATATTTATCTTAATGCCTAATTCAGAATTACAGTTAGAAGAATAGACTCATATACCGAGGCTGCTTAGCCCAAGATAAATAGGTCATATATTCATGGATAATTTATCCATATATATGGATAATTTATCCAAATATATGGATAATATATCCAAATATATTTCAAGAAAAATAAAACATATCACTGCATTATTTCTTAAGACCCTAAGTTAAGGAATAAACTTCTGCGTGAAGAAAATAGAACACGTCTAAACTACAAAATAAGGACACGAAGACCTACTTAAAGTTGCTTACTCCTAATTTAGGTTTTATATAAGAGTTGCCAGAATACGTTAATATACAACCGTTGCTCAAGCGGTAACATCCGCGACTCTGAGGCATCAGGTCGAGGGTTCGCGCCCCGTCACGATGTGAGGTTAGCAAGGGCATGCACTCAAGGTAACAATTACATCTGCCAAAACAAGTCCTTCGCAAGAAGGCAACCGTCCTAGCCCTTGGTAGAAAAGGGAGTCCGTGACGTAAAACCGGAACGAATGCGTTAACATACTGTTCCACTACTGACCACAT